TTTTTGACCTCACGTTTACTGCATTAACTAAGATGGATCCAGGAACGTTTAGCAACCAGTAATTCTTAAAAATTTCCCTGAAAGGATAGGAGAGGTAAGAAATAAGCAAAAAGGCCAGATAAATCGAACGCGACAAACACGAATGCCCAAAGAAATAAGTAAATAACTGGAACCGAGTAACCCACATTTTATTCCTTACCAGCCACCATAATGACCAATCCAACATTTACAGTTTATCGTAGACTTTTATGTCGCGCGCAAGCACAAAGGCCAAAGCGGAAGTAAAGAAACTGAGGAGTGTGATTCCAAGAAGACTTCCTCCAATCGTTATCAATTCGGCATCAACGGCATCCGCAACAGCTGTAGCGCAGTGCTAAAGCAGAATGTAAAAGAAATAGCAGTACTGCTTTCAAGTAAACTTCATTGGAAAGATTGATGCTGTAAATGGCACTGGGTTATATCTGTTCCTGCTAGTGATGACTGTCCAATTTTAATGTACAACAGAAAACAGAAAGATGAAAAGAGCTGTTTTTTGGTTGCAACTGGTCACTTTTTTCCCCTGCCTTGTTTGTCATGCACTGATTACCGATATTTAATCTCAAATTTAAGGCTTCGTCCAACCGGTTCCGTTCAACTAGATCTGAAATTTTCTCAAGCAGGTCTTAGGATATAAGTTCTGAATTGCATATATTTGTTGGAGTCGTGACGGCAAAAATATTTTGACCAATCAATCAAGTAGCTTCGCATAGAGATTGTCAGTCATACTCTAAAACTTCCTTTGGCACGCATTTGGGATAGGAGTACTAACATCCTAGGGGCACTGTTCATGGCAGTGGACCTGACTGTAACTTCAATGAATTAAAATGGATTAAACATAAACTAATCGTGACTCTTCCGAAGTGCACATAAATAAAATTATTGGATTGTTCTGCATGGATTTAATCCCCAAATTTAAAGAGAAACTAAATAATTAAGGCCTTACCAGTTTTCTGTCTTGCTGCCTTCCTTGCGTATATCCTAATTGGCCGTTTCTGGAGCACTCAAACTAAACGTGAAGGTAGACAGCGTCATGCGTGTTAGATAAGACATCAAACAATGACAATTAGTTGAAGTGGTAGGTTGCCCCCTACACTTACAGTGGCCTCCAACCAGTCAATGATAGCAGTCCACTTTTTACTACTTCCATACTTTGATTCACCTTCTTTAACAGCGGCACTAACGGTATCTTCAACAAAATCGTAAATCTAATAGAATGGGTTTATAGTATATAAGGGATTTTAAGAACAAAAATTAACCCGAGAACGTTTGACGTAGGCAAATAGCATAAAGCCAAGTGTTGCGAAACCCATAATTAGGATAATAATCGCGTACTGAAAAGTGAAGGAAAGGCTACTCTACTAGAAGTTCACCGCATACCGCAAGGAGAACATTTGCATTCGCCCGAAGTGCTCCGAATAGGCCTAAGAACGCAACAGCAATTATGAAAACGCCAAGCACAATGGCGGCAGTCGCAACGGCGGTCGAAATTGTCAGAAGTTCGTCTTCGAGTGGACTGTCAAAATGGATCAGATCAAGGATTCCCAGGATAACGAGGGCCAAACCAAAGATCTGATGGGAGAAAATAATAAATGAGATGGGTTTAAATTGAGCAAATATATTCTATATAGTCGAGATTTTTGGACTGGTAGCCCACCTTCCCATAAAGCGCGCATTCTCATGCTGCTTCAAGCTGACGTCCATGGCCCTATGTGTATATGTACATCAAATTACACAATATGCTTCGAAAGTAAGTCTCGAGAGGGTATGAATTAAAAAGTTGGATAAAATAGATTGCAAGCTGCATTGACGGCTTTAATTATTTTCGCAGAATTTGACAACCCCGCCTTTATAGGAAATCCTCGCACCATCAGAGGCCTTGGGCAATTTATAAACCTCCTCTTATATAGGCCTACCAGCACAGACAAATATTAGTTTGTGCTACAGAATGTGCGTCGACCGATTGGGATCGACCCGCACAGTAATGCGTTGAAAGTGTTTCGGTATATGGCAAGTGTCATTCAGGTCTATGGGGGCATGTTCGATTTAAGGCAGTCTGAGCGCATATGTTGTGCGTCAGATCCTGAAAGAAAGATACCGTAGGGACACATGAGTTGGGGCAGAAACAGATCAGTCCACCCTACTTGTTGTAAAATGGGCAGTTTATGGCCTATTGTCCATATATATTTGTGCTGGTAGGCCACCTTCCAGTAAAGTGCACATCTTTTTGCTGTTTCAAAGAGATGCTTTTGGTCCTGTGTGCTTACGTACAACAACTTATCCAATATGCTTTTAAAATAAGCCTAAATACAGTATGAATTAAAATCATCTTAACCTCTTATCTGTTACTATTAATGAACAAACAGCTATCTCTTAAACCAGCAGGCATTGTGTATG